GAGGAAGACAACCCTTGATTCACGGAGCTCGAATATCGAAAATCCAACTTGAAACTAACTTCACTGCGGTGCAAAATATCTGGTTTTCTCCTGCTTTTGTTAAACTGTCTGTTGGAGCTCTTGTGCTGCACAGAGAGGCTGCCTGTCACTGTGAAGGTGAGTTGAGATCTTCTCCTCATTGGTCAGTCCACATGAGGTCAGGTGACTGATAGGGTTGTGTAATGTCAAGCTTTGCTTTTGTGTAAAGGACACTTCCTGCGATCTCAATGTAGTGGGTCATGTTTACCAGATTATACTGATGTATTCGTTTTTATATCATCATGTAAAGGAGTGTCCTTGACAAGAGGACRTAGCAGTGTATTTGTAGTTCTATGAGCATTTGAACATCAAAATACCCTTAGAAGTTGAAGTATTGAGTATATTTAGTATATATTGCAATAATTTACTCTGTATTTTGCCAGACTGGTAATCCTGGGGTCGTGATGATGGGGCCCTTGAATAGTGTTGCCCAGGGTACAGTGAAGTGTTAATCTGGCCCTGATATCAGATAATTATTTAACCAGCTCTAGCTACACAACTACTTCGGAATCATCATGCTAACAAGTAGCTTGTGCTCAGTAAACAAGCTAATAAAGCTGTTACAGCAGTCACAGGGCCTCTTAAGTGGGGCGAGTGAGTACGACAGTCATTTCAATGCCATCAGTGTTGTCTTTTCATTTGGCCACTACASTATTGTCTCTTGGGGTCCCCCTCCACCTGCCTGCAGTAACATGACAGTTCTGACTGCAGGCTGTGCTCAGAATACAGGAAAGCAAGCATTCCATATGGGACACTTCAATTTGGCTGAAAATAGGGGAAATCATGGCTAATACGGAACAGTTGGCAACCCTAGCTGTGTGACATTGCTTCTTTTTCTGAGCACAATGTGTCACCTCTGAACTGCTAACATTTCATACTGAAGTCACATTTTAATAATAATGTGATWTGCCACACACATACAAAAAATTCTGAGAAGAAACATCCAAGACCTGCAGTGAGAATGTAAATTTCTTACTTTCTGTTTCACCTCATGCCTTTCTTCAAGACCTCTGCCGGCTCCTAGGAGAGGTGCACCCAACAGTTTGAAAACCCTTGTTGTTAGGCAATATAATAAAAACATTATCAAAGTGTGAGTGGATTGTAGTTTTAGTGGCGAGGAGAAATTAAATCAATATAATGTGCTGGCAAGAAATCTTGTGGTGTTTCATGTTTTAAAGGAATTTATGAATTTATTTTGAAAATGATTCTTGAAATTTCTAACTTCCTGGGATGATATAAAAGTGCTCTGGTTCTATTTTTGCAGCCTGAGGAAACATGATATTTGGAAGAGAGGTGACTTCTCAGCCCCAACTTGGCAGATTGAACAAGGTCACATAGTGTTTATGAAAGTTCTTCATGCTTTTTTCTCACCTATCAAATGCAGTCAGTGTCATTTAGTATGTTTTAAATTTTATATCAATTTAATAAATATTGATATAATGACTGTTTGAAATCAAAACAATATGCAACCCAGCTTAGAATCAGTCTCTGTGAAATGTCTTTAAAGCTCAGTCTGGAAGAAAAACCTTAGATTAGCATTGGTTTGTCTTTTTGTCTGTGCGCATAATTCAAAAAGTATAAATAGATATTCATAAATTTTCAAGAAATATTGACGTCACAATGAATACATTATTAAATTCTGGTGGTGATCTGGATCACCTGTGTGAGTGACCCTAGGATCTTGGCAGAGGTGTGTGTTTTCCAAGTGCCTCTAGTTTATTTCTGCTTTTTGAGCTACATTATACTATCATGGTTTGACTTATAAAAGGTAGGTGGTGAGGGTTAACACCCAGTTAAGATAAAAAAACAACAGCTTTGTGAGAATTTAAACATTTATACATCCAATACTTAAGTTAATCAAACATGTTACAATTTGGTTTTTAGTATAGGAAACATCTAGTATTGGGATTTTAGTCTCCAGTTTAGACTCAAGTTTAGGAAAAGAAAATCTTCCTGCATCCTGCATGTTTGAGCCTCTGGCTCAGTTATTAGTGAAGATAGGCACTAGCTTCCCTGTGATCCCGCGAGAAAAAACAAGATAAAAAAATAGATTGATGGGTGGACTCTGTGGCATACTGCAGTTTACCTGCAGCTTCCTGGTTGCCCTGCAGCAGATTGGACTCAGCTGGCACTGATCTCCTTAATGACCCTTGGTGCTTTATAAGGCTCCTCCATTCACCAGATCAACGCTGGAACATAACCCCCTAATGACAGCTTCAAGCTACTTAGCTATTCTTCCAAAGTTTCCAAAGTTATACTTATGCTGTGTTTCTTTTGTCTTCCAGTCATCCTTGTTGTCTATGGGAGATCTGAATTGTCTTTATTGAAAAAAAAAAAACACTTCCTGGCAAAAGTAAATGGTAAATGGACTGAACTTATACAGCGCTTTATCAAACCCCATCAGACCCCAAAGTGCTTTACACTACATTCATTCACTCGTTCACACACACATTCACACTGATAATGGTAAGCTACCTTGTAGCCACGTCTGCCCTGGGGCACACTGAAAGTAACCTGTCTGTTCCAACTTGCTGCTCTGCCCCTCTGTTGCCAAACTCCATACTTGCCACCATCCCTCACCTTCTAGTCATCTCCACCCCTTTTTAAATGCTCTCTGCCTGGTTAATATTCAAAATCCCTCCTGAGACCTGAAAGGTTATTCTTACCACTCTGCTGACTAATCCATTCAGCCCTCAACTGACCATCTTCTTCCCTCCTACAGATCTGGACACACTAGTTTATACTGTAAATGAAGACCACTTACCTTTTATTTCAGTCTCCCRAGTCTCTGTTCCTCTTGGCTGCTACCATTGACATTTCTCAAGATCTGATAGACTCCTTAAAGTGGGCTATACTAATTTTTAACCAGACATGCTTAACCCATTGGTGTCCATATTTCTTTGAAGTGACTTTGTATAAAACACGTGATCATATGAGATAGAAATGGTAGACTCAAATGATTTATTTATATACACCAACTGGCTTTTGGCATCATAAAAGAAGCTCTGGCTCAGGAAAAATGACCAGTATCTAACAAAAACAACCTTACTTTACTGCCTTTCCTAAAGAAGGAAATGAGACTGAATACACCAGAAAAATCAGATTCTGGTCCTGCGATAGTCTGAACTGGAAAAACACAACAAAAGCTTCAGAAGTGCACTGAGCACCATTTAGTCAGTGAAGATTATGCATTTGTATTCTTAGCAGCCCTTGGGTACTTTCTAAATTGGTGTAATTCAAAGCAGCAAGTATGAAAAATAAGGTCTGTGTTTGGCTCTTTTAAAAGATAAACAAATTGACTCCTTTTATTCTTTTTAAATTGAGGTTAAATCGAAGATAACTTGCTTTCACAGAAAGTTGGAATATATGATTACAATAAAAATGCAAAACATCAATCTGCTGTGGCATAATAATCAGCTGAAATAGGCCATACACAGTCAATTTATCCTAGCCTTCTCCAATAAATCAGATTTGCCTGAAAGCTGMCAGAATAATATTTTTCATTCAGCTTGGTATCTTAGAGAGAGATTGCTGTGAACATCTATTAATGAGTTAAAATGAGCATGAAAAGGTCAAGCAAGGTTAGTTTTGCATTTCTCAGGCCTGACTTAAAAACAAATATTCTTATTGAATAGACTGCATTAAACTGATTGGAATACTGTAATTTAAAATATATGAAACAAGAACTGTTTTGGGTTTTTCTTTTCACAAATGTGTGTTTTCCTGAATTTATGTGTACTTTGGCACTGTGGAAYATTTGCTTAACTGTTCACAAAATCTTAAGAAGCCTCTAAATAGCTGTACAAGTAACATTCCCAATTAGAATTTTTGAACACATTTTCTTCAGTTCAGCTCTGTGCATTTTTCTTTTGTACAGTAGGAGGAACACAACATAGCTGCCAGATACCCTTAGATTATCACCACAAAGCACAATAGCTTTACATTTGCTTCCCTGGAACCCATGCAGACTTGTCTTGAATCGACTGTGAATTCAAAAGTAATTCATGCTTGTTAGCTGTTTAAATGGCTGCTTTATAGTGACACTCACATCTTTTTGAAGTCGAACACGGTGTATTCAGGCCACTCGATGTAGCACACCACCCTGCCAGGGAGCTGGTCCGTGGTAGAGTAGTAGTACTGAGGAAAAGCAAGAAGCAGAGCCAAAACCCAAATGACACCCACCACCACTTTGGTCTCTGTGGATGACATGCGCTGCTGCAGGGGGTGGATAATGGCCATGTACCTGTGAAGACAARCAAAACATACAATGATAGTGAAGAAAACACATAAAGCTCTTTAAGCCCTAGGCATGCCATACATTTTATACCTTTCAAGATTTTTTTTTTTACTCTGAAACCTGTTTTGTAATAACACTGGTCTGGAGCTCCTAAAATGTTTACGTGTGGATGAAAGGCTGAAATGGTCAAAATTGTTTGCGTATTCACAACACACTTATAGAGCATGCCCAAACACAACTAGCAGGATTTTAATATTTAGGCTCACTGACTCACACAAAAACATTGGAGTTTTTTTTTTCTTTCGAACAAAAGTCAAAAACACAAACTGGTTTGTTGAAWTTAAATTTCACTCTCACTTTGTCTGAATGATAAACTCAAATCTCTCGAGAGAAACCAACATCAGAGCGAAACATATTGTAATAATTCTAGTCAAAGGACTCCCCAGAGTGTTTAAGTATTCATTTCACACTCCCACAATCATGTTTCTAATCAGAAAGTCAATATGAGCTTGAAAACCATATGACTGACCGCACACTTCATKAACAGTGATCCTCATGAAGTCTATATAAAACCATTTTCCTTGGAGAACCCTTTGTTTTCAACAAACAGTACAATATTAAAAAGCTTTTTTAAAAAAGGATGCCTTTTTCATTTTACATATTTCACTATGGTATTTTCTAGAAATTAGCACTGTGTGCTATATGTAGTTGAATGAATACAATCATGAATGAATTTATTTATAATCTCATTGTCAGAATTCTTGCAAACTTTACAATCACCACTGTGAGCCAAAGAGATCTAATTAAAAGTTGAATCCCACTTATTATCCAAATGAATCTGTTAAAKAGACAGTCTAACTCTAATTATATCAAACACATGAGGAGGTCTTTGAAATCAAAAGCTCCCTGCAGTCAGCTGAAGTCATCAGAGCTTTGGTTTTATCTTTGACTCCACTTCAAATGTGTTTTTTTTTTTTCAGCAGCAGCAGGTGAGGCATAAAAGCAAAGTGCTGATGTCAGAATCAAACCCACACCTGCAGTGGACAGCTTAAATCAACACTCCTGCCAGTATGCAGGTACTATGTTTATTAAAACACAGAGCTACAAAAGTAATGGTCATTACTTTTTAGGATACTGGCCTATCACATTTAATAAGAACAAAAATCTAAGAAGCCTTCACACAGATACAAATAATTTATTAAATGTATTTTTCAAAAGGGTACACAGAGGCATCAATCAGATTTTATAAACTGGAATGCCACAAATGCTATAGAAACATACAGTAGCTAGTTAACTCAGCATAGCAAAAACAATGTAACTGATAAAAAAAAATATAATGTTGCAAATGCACTTGAATGCAGCATTACATTTTTTTTCATTAAGKGTGGAGCAATAAATTTAATTAAAGCAATTTTGAAGGGAGAAAAACYAAAAACAAATACTTTGTTGGGGAATCAAACTCTGTTCCTCAGCGTGGCAGAAAACTTACAAAAACCCCTAGGAGATACTAGCACATCAGAGTAGAGACMAACAGGAAATGCAATGATCTGCTGATGGGTGAACAGAGACTGACTAAATAGGGCAAGACTGATGAGGGGTGAACAGGCAGCTTGGCTGATTAGGAGTGGCAACAAGCAGGAGTGGTTGATGACTGGAAAAACACTGAGAAGCTGGCTGAGGAAAATATGAGGAATGAGAAACCTCAGAAATCAAGAGGAATTTAAGCAAATTTAACAATGAAACATACAGTAAAACTCAGCTCACCATATGCCACAAATGGCCCTTTTCCACCAGTGCCTCTACAGCGTTGTTCGACTTGTCTCAACTCTGTTTGGCACGGTTCGGGTAGTTTTCACTTATACTTTAGCAACAGCTAGTGGGTGGGCTCATGGTAAAGTTAGGCGGTCCCAGATTCTGAAAATTGACACCACACATCTTACCAGCAGGTGGAACTTATGATCTAGTACAGTGGTTCCCAAACTTTTTATCTTCTGACCCACAAAATATCCATGGCAAAAATTTGTGACCCCAAATATTAC